CTGGGTTCGCCGTTATCGTGTCAAGCATGCTTCATTTTGGGATATTAAGGCTTCTGCTGCAGGCTCCTGGATATGGAAGAGGATTCTTAAGTGTGGTGTAGTGGCTAGACCTTTTGTCTCGCGTTTGAGGGGAAGCTTGGCATGGGATGGCGAGGTCATGGACTCTTATTCTGTGAAGCGAGTCTGGAACTGTTTACACCATAAATTTTGTCTTGTACCACATTGGTGAGTTACAAGATAATCAAGGAGTTTATAAGGCCACACCCATTATAACAATTAATGTTGTTTAAATTGGGCCTTATGGATATTGATTTTAAGTCCAAGTCACTAGCTCATTAATGAGCATGGACATGATTCAATAAGTGACATGGGCCTCTCGTAAGAGGTCATGCCATGCCACGAGATGGCATGAAAATTTCTAAGTATGAGAAGTTCATGGCCATGAATGAAGAGGCCATGCCGCCCCATGGCCAAGGCCTAATGACTGAAAAATAAACTAAGTCTGGAAGAGGTACATGCCACTTCAAGGAGAAGCACGTGCCGCCTCACGCGAAGGGGCATGGACGCAAGAAAAGATACTAAGTATGAGAGGGCCATGTTGTGTCACGAGAAGGGTCACAAACATGACTGAGAAGTCCATGGCCGCGAATGAGGAGGCCATGTCGCCGCATGAGCCAAAATATACTAAGTCTGAGAAGGCCATGCCGCCTCATGAGAAGGGTCATGTGCATGATTAAGAGGTCCATGGCCGTGCCATGTGATGGCCATGGACGCAAAGCAAGAGGCTTAGGCATGATTGAAAAACTAAGTATGAGAAAGCCATGCCACTTCAAGAGAAGAGCCATCTGCATGATCGGGATATCCATGGCCGTGTCACGAGAGGGGCCATGGACGCAAGGCCGCGAATCATACTTCAAAGAAGACAAAGATATTCTAAGTGTGGAGAAGGACTTGTCGCTTGAACGAGGAGGGTCATATCCCTCTAGAGATCGAGAAGGTCATGCCGTGTCACAGGATGGGCCATGGACATGAGTAAGAAGTCCATGGCCGCGAGACAAGAAGGCCATGAACATGAGTAAGAAGTCCATGGCCGCGAAGCAAGAAGACCACGACCCCCTTTGCGAGACACTACATGCTCGTCAAAAGACTAGCATGGCACGAGATTCAGAACAAGACCAGGCGAGGCAAGATACACTCCAAAACCCACGACGGTTCCAAGAGAGGCACCTAGGTGGTTGAAGGAGTAACCACCACTCCGAGGAAGCAAGGAGCGGTTCTTTTTGGGATTTGTCCAAGAGGCGGTTTATTACCGAAGAAGGAGGAGCGGTTCTTTGTAGCAGTTATCCAAAAAGCGGTTTTCTATGGCGGTTACCTCCTCGGGGCTATAAATAAGAGGAGGGGTCGACAGAGACAAGGGTTCCAAAACCAACACTCTGACACACATGTCAAGTTTATCCTTTACCTTTTCTCTATCATGTAGCCATAGATGTAATTCGTAGTTTGGAGCTCTCGCCGAACCTCCATAGGAGTAGAAGTAATTTAATTTAGATCTCGTTCCCAAAAAACCATCAATCAAACACCCTCGTTCGAACTTTGTTTGAAGAGGTGTGAGCCGTGTCTTAGTAATCGTTGCCCAAGGAAGTCAAAGGTGCATTAATCTCATTTCAACGCAAGTTTTCTCGCCGGAAAACAGGAACTCACTAAGGCAGAAGAATAACATTGTGCCCTGGAGTAATCTTGTATGGGAAAAAATGATAGTTCCTCGTCATGGTTTCATACTCTGGCTCATAATTCATGATAGGCTAAAGTTGTAGGATCGACTGATTTTATGGGGTAATCCTCTATCTGGTGTTTGCTTGATGTGTCATGGCGTCTTGGAGACTAGAAATCATCTCTTTGTCACCTATGCTTTTACGAAGAGTATCTTGGATCAGGTTATGCAGGTTGCTGCTCCACCAACTTTGGGAGATTGGCCAACAGTATTGCAATGGTGTGTGTCTCACTAGTGCGGTTCTTCTGCTTCTGCAAGCTTGAATCATCTATCTTGGAGTGTTATTCTTAGTCTGATCCGGAGGGAGCGGTGTTCCAGGATGTATGGCTCTGTTGGAGAAAGGCCTCCTTCCCAGATTGTTGCGCAGGCGAAGTGGATCATTGAGTACCGATGTAAAATGGACCAGAGCTTACTAGCTTGTTTCATTTCTAGGGGATTAGGGTAGTTTATTCGGTTTACTTCCTTGTCGTTTGTCAGGGAGTTTTTTGTACAGGCTTTGTTGGTTTGAGGAGCGCCATAGTTTTTTAAGCTATTGGTAGCCTGTGCTTAATGAAATTTTTATCTAAGCATAAAAAAACATTTCAGTTAATGCATCAATTCACAATTTATATGTGAATAAAACATTACTGATGTGACCAAAGTACGCAGCTTTCCTGCTTTTTATGGGTTTTCGAAGCTTTTCTCCAACGAACAAGAACTCGAACAAAAGATAATGATGGAACACGATCAAACAGATTCCAACTCGTGTGAAAGGCCAATTGGTATATGAAACCAATCAAACAATCACCCACTCGTGAATAAGGCCAATCGCTATTGGGTAGAAGCTCGCCACAACTAGACGCGTTCTCTAGTTGATAAGAGACACGTGAAACTCCTGGAGCACTCTCAACAGAAGCTTGCACAAAGAACTAGTTCGTATGAACTTGTAACTTGAAAGTTGATTGATAATTGAATGAGTTACAATGAGGAACTCAGCCTCTTATTTATAGACTAGCTAACACAAATCCAAAGCTTAAAATGAAAAACAAATCCTACAAGTAAAAGGAAAAACACAATCCTTAAAAGACAAGTAAAAGGAAAACACCATCCTTAAAAGACAAGTAAAAGACTTGGTCAACAACTCCCTAGGTTCTATCCTTGCAATCCTCCCTCACATGGCTTGTGTTCACACCTGATATTCCTTTCACACTTGTACTCCTTTTCACACCTTGTGTTCACACCATGGGAGATCTTCCTTCCTTCTACCAAGCCCATCTTCTCTTCATTCTAGTCCATAAATCGTAGCAATGTGATGGACTTTCCTTCTAGCAAGTCCACGTCCATCAAGAATGATCCCATTTGATCCTTGTATCGTCGTACTCGGACCTTCATCTTTGGACCACGAGAATTATATATTCTGCCAATTGATTTCACATCAACAAACTCGTAGGCCTTGCTTGCAAAGACCTTTTCTTCCACCTTGAATGCTTTCAAGCTCTCTTTAAACCTCTTAAATCGTCTCTTGAACCATGGTCCATGTAGGAATCTAGTTTGAGCTTGAGTGACGTCATGCGGGGTGAGCGGGGTCGCATCAATTACAACGAAGACATAAATACATTCAACTAATACAATTATCTTATAGTAAATAGAAGTATTCCCCTAACAAAAATATATGTCAATACTGTGGAGTTAATTGATTGTGTGAATTAAATTAGTCTCTTAGCAATTATCATAGATTGAAAATGACTTTCCTTTCAAGTTTTCATCTAATATACTGTATGAGTTTTATCTAAATTGGGCATTCATATATCATGGTCTATACTCTACAAAAAAAAAAACAATATAGGAACAATATTGAACTGTATTGTTGATGAACCTAAAAGGAAGGAATGTTTGGCTCTTGTGTTGTTATGCCAAGTATTAAGTATGGGTGTATAATATATATTAGATATATGGATAATTACTTAACTTGTTAATTTGGTTTGATTGGTTAGAAGTGTCTGAAACCAAACCAAACCACCTAAACCAAATAGGCTAAAAAATTTAATCAAACCAAACCAGTTGTCCAAATTAACCAAACCAAATTAACTAAATACTACTGGTTAAAACGGTTACCACGGTAACCACACCGTTTGAACACCCCTAAGAACATGTAACAACATATTTTTCTAGGTATCTAATACGTCACGTTATCCTGTATATCCAGCGAAAGCCCAACTTAGTTAGCAAGCTTGGCGTGGTAAAGTAGACGTCTTCCACCTTGGGCCTGCATATAACAAGTCCAGTAAAGCGGACGTCTTCGGCCTGCAAATAAGCTGTTGTCTGGCATCCAGAACTTACTAATCGGAGTGTGTACCGACTTCCGATCATACGTTCCCTCTCTCTCTCTCTCTCTCTACTTGACTGGCGGAGCGATGGCGGGAAAGCCAAATGCAGCCGACATTCTAACGGCGGACTTCGCCGGGATGACCAAGAACCAGCTCTATGACATCTTGTCTCAGATGGCGAGTTATCTGTTTCTCTATCTTTTCTGAATCATCCATTGCCTTCTCCTTCAAACTGAGGGATTCATTCCTCGAGGCCTTCAGTTGAACTGCTGAACACTTTTTTATTGTTGGTTGTACTTGTACACACACCTTCAATGCAGACATCAATAGAGCAGAACAGACAGGAAGCAAGGGATATCCGCATCCAGAATCCTCTCCCTTTTCCAGGTCTTTGAGTTCTTCTCCCATGTCAAACTTAGCTTCGTGATTTAGTTATTCGATCTCCTTGTATCAAGAACTTAATTAAGAGGGATTGGGATGTTGTTTGTTGCCGTTAATACAAGGATTTAGCTTTGAATTGCGAATAATAGCTTGCCTTTCTTACTGCCAAATGATTAGGGTTTTGTTTGAATCCTCATCACTGCCTAGCTAGGATTTGTGTGTCTGTAGTAATGTTGTAAGAAGCCATTCCTCATTTTCGGCGGAGTGTGAGGAACTGCCACTTTGATTTCAAGCATTTGGGAATATGAGTATCTGAATCATTTCACTTGTAGAAAAGGCCGATTATTTTTACTTAGTTTAAGTAAGTTAGATGGATAGCTAGGTCGGTATTCTATAATTGGAAGGCTAGTGTATAGCACACGCCATCGTAGTTGCACCACCAATTCTCTTGGCGCTTTCATATTCCACTTCTCCTGTGACAATTTTTATTTATATGTATTCCTTGTTTGAACAGGCTCAAACTATGATGGGAATGGTCTAACCTCCTCCAGTGGTATGTCCTTAATCTTTATAGATCCATCGTATTGGCTAATTGATATACGTGCTTAACAGATTTCTCTTTGCTGGTAGGTTCCTGTAATCCCGGCAACAACATCACAGAAGCCTTAGCAATCAGCACCATCCCCTCATATATCAAACATTGGGACTTGGCAGCAAGGACAAATGGGACAACAACCTGCATCAAACACGCAGCATCAGATCAGAACACAACACCAAAATCAGCCTGCAGTAGTGCCCATGGCTTCTTCCTCTTTTGCTCCACCTGGAATTGTAAATCTTTCATCCAAACCATGCATGCCTTTGCACACCTTACCCATGGCTTCTTCCTCTTTTGCTCCACCTGTAATTGTAAATCTTTCATCCAAACCATGCATGCCTTTGCACACCTTACCCATGGCTTCTTCCTCTTTTGCTCCACCTGTAATTGTAAATCTTTCATCCAAACCATGCATGCCTTTGCACACCTTACAGAACCCGTAGCAGCCAAAGGGACATCTTAATACTCAAGTGCCTAACATACCTCCACATGCACCCCAACTTCATCTTACTCAACTAGCCAGCTTCAACAGCCATTGCAGACAAGTGGCGGAATCCCTCACATGTATGTCACTGCAACCACCAATGCCACCTCAACCTATGTCGAGTTTCAATCATCAATATCAACAACAGAGGGGATCCGGTATGGGCTTCCAACATGGTGCTAGTCATCAGCATCCTTCACAACCCATGTTTCATGTAAGTTGAAGATCGAGTTCCTTAACCATAGTTTGTGGTTAACATTTTGAAAAGTTGACACTTAGCAATAATAATACAATTAATTGTTTTAGTCTGGCAATATAACTCAAAATCCAGCAGTGCCATCATATTCTCATGGACAGTAACAACCTATTCCAATTTCCAAGCCACCGGCCACCTCAATCCCAATATCAGGTAACATGAATTTTTTCTAGCTCCCTCCATCTTGATGCCTTGGTGTGTGCGTGCTTTAATGTTGTTTTTCTTTTCCTTATGGTATCTCTGAAATGTTCTCATTCACTCATTTGCTGAATCTAGACTTGAGTTGCACTCGCATGTTTAGTAGTTTATATGCTTGCAGCCCATCATGATGCATCATTTAGTAGACTGAATAAATGACATATGATCATGGGTTGTGCCTCAAAATAGGATAGGTAGTTTACTTTCTGGAATTTGTGGAATGGAGAAATGGGTATTTGAAGGGCTGCCTCTCCAATACAAGAACATGATTTGATAATCCACTAAAGATAGTAAGTCGGAGAATCTAACAAGTCTTAAATTCATATTACTTGGTCCCCTGCTCAGCTCCTGCTGTTACTCTTTCTAGAGTTGTGGAAAAATTGTAGACAAAATTTGGGTGGATGAATTGTTTTAAATAGATATATTTTTGAAATAATTGAGAAATGGCTAGATTGTGGAAATGCATCGTTTGAATAGGGTTCTTTTAAAATAGGGTTGTGAATGATGGAGTTTCCTATTAACACTGAGATGCGCTTCAAATTTAAAATCCAGGGTGGAGGAGGTTCACACTTGACCGGAGAGTTCAACAATCAGGGTGGAAGCCCAATGCAAGTTGATCGAGGATCTGGGTGGATGTCTAGCCCTCTAGATAGCTCAGCTGCAACACCAGTTTTGGGCAATCAAGCAGCTCGAGCTGCACCTGTAACCGCCAAAACTCCCCTGCCTCTTTCCCTTCCTTTTATGTTGTTGTATTCCAAGTGTTGATGGTCTTCTAAGCCTCCTTTTGGTCATGTTTCTTTTCGAGTGATACAGTTTAGCCCTGATATGGAGAAGGCACTACTTCAACAGGTAATAAGCCTGACACCGGAATAGATCAATCCGTTGCCGCCTGAGCAAAGGAGTCAGTTGCTTCAGCTGCAACAGCAATGACTGCAACATCAGAAAGTCTTGAGGCTCCTGGTTTATTCCTGCGTATTTCGTCTACCATGTGATTGGGCTGAATGCAATTCTTTTTTCCTTCTTTTCCCTAAAGGGAACAAGAAGATTCGAGAGGAGGATCAATATAATCCGTTTCCTGTTACTGCTCCATTGCCATTATTATTGTGGTTGGTTTTCTGTTCGTATCACATCGTGATTTTCCTTTTATTTTTCTGGAGCGAATAGTGTAATGTTGCTGGTAGCTTTGGATTATGATTAAGGTGAAAAAACAACCCACCCTTTTGGATTTGGGTTGGGTATGAATTTTGGGTTATAAAACTCGTAGATGCCATCATAACCTAGATGTAAGTATTCATATTCAAAATGTGGTTGTATCGGATACTAGCATATTTGAGAGAAATCTATTATATTTTTTTATATATTTTTTTCTTGTGGTCTCGTTAACTTAATGTGTCTTTCAACTAAAAATTTAGGCTATAGTACACATGTCTTTTTTCCTGTTTTCAATTTTTGTAGTATAACATATGGATGTGTTAGCTTATAATGAATAAGCTCTTTAGCTTATTTTGGTAATGTTATGAAACATACTAAACATAATGACATATGTTGGTCAATGCATTTGTATACGTTTTGCTTTGACTCATTTGTTTGAAATTTTAATTAGTTATATAATATGATTAATTAATTAAAGCCGCAAGTATGCGGCAATGTTGCATACGAAATTATAGACAAATTATTTTTTTTACCACATGTACTGTTCATAAGAGGCATTTATCCCCTACATCTAATTTTATTATAAGCTCTTTATTATTTGTATTACATTAAGAATTTTAAGGTTAGGTTTTTTACACAACCGTTTAATCAAATACTTGTAATGTTCATAAGAGGAATTTATCCCCTACATCTAATTTTATCATAAACTCTTTATTATTTGTATTACATTAAGATTTTTAAGGTTAGTTTTTTTACACAACCGTTTAATCAAATGTTATATTTTTTTAACATGATTTTATCTTGAGACCACAAGCTCTTTAGCATTAAATCACACAGTACGAAAAATTTGTGTAACACTACTCTATATCAATTACATTATTACAAATTCAACATTATTTATTTATTATTTGCATTACACCAAAGTTTGTAAGGTAATTTATTTTTTACATAACAATTTAATCTAATCTAATTTGATATTTTTGTTTACTTGACTTCACCATTGGATCACACAGTACAAATGATTTGTGTAACATTATGTTATATAAGTCATATAATTACAAATATATTATAAAGCTCTCAAATTTATGGTAAGCTCTTTATTATTTGCAATAGAGATAGATTTTGAATGATCAATGATATTTTACATAGCCGTTTACAAATGTACTATTTTTTTAATTTGATCTTATTATTAGATTGCATAGTACGATGACAGTTACATAATTAAAAATACAATATATAAACTTATGGAGGAGTGATTATTTCTTATCTATCACTTAAATAGTACGTAATGATTCGGTAATTTAAGTGCTCTTTAGCATTAGATCACACAATACGAAAGATTTGTGTAACATTACTCTATAACAATTACGTAATTACAAATATATTATAAGATGCCTCAATTTTATCATAACTCTTTATCATTTTATCATGGTATGAAATATTTGTGTAGCATTTACAACTCGTAATTATAAATATATTGTGTAAAGCTCCCAAATTCATCATGATTTCTTTATTATTTGCATTACACTATGAATTTTCAAGGTAAATTTTTTTTCTACATAACAATTTAATCAAATTTGAGATTTTTGTTAACTTGACTTCATTATTAGACCACACAATATGAAGGACTTTTGTAATTGGGCTTAAGCCCATGAAAACGGATAAATTTCATCAGTTTCTCCAAGCGTTTTGCACCAAACTCAGTAATATTTAATTATTTCGAGAATGGGTTAGAAGAATTGCAGAAAAGGACTTGGTGGAGGCGGGACAATTAATATGACCGTACCCATCATTTCAAGTTTTCAACCACCAAAATACTAAATTGGGCTAAAATTTTGGGTATGAAGTGACAATTAATATGCCCGTACCCATCATTTCAAGTTTTCAACCACCAAAATACTAAATTGGACTAAAATTTTGGGTATGAAGTTGTTGACCGAACTCTTTGATGGCTCGTGTTATGAAAGCATGGTATTTTCCTAAAACTGATATTCTCAAGGCTAAAGTGGGTTACAGACAGTGTTATCAGAACCGAACCGGACGTCAATCCGGATTAGCGAGAGGTTCAAGGTTTATCGGATAACCGATAATTAACCGATATTACAACCCGGTCATAAACCCGAAATGGCCTACTTGGTAGAGCTAGTAATGCAAAATCAAAATCAATCATAGTCCATTTTTTTCTCAATTTATGATAATATCTTAAAATCAAAATTGAAAAGGAAGGTGGCTGCTAGGGCAAGGGAATGGGAATGGGATTATTTCTTTCCTTTTTAATTTTATTCTATACAAACTTTCCTTTTTCGTTGGTTTAGCTATTTTTTGAATATTTTAATTGAAGAAAGCAAAAGCTAGCTGACGATCTGTCTTTTCAGTTGCAAAAACGAAAATTAAAATGGAAAAAAGCCGACCCACTGAATTGTTGCCGCTTTTATGCTTCCGGGACCGAATCAGTGTCCGGGTCTGATTTTTTCGGGCTAACCGGGCGGTCCGGCCTAGTTTTTATAACACTGGTTACAGACCGAATTTTATTTGGAGGAGTATTATGGAGGCAAAGGAGAAAATTGAGGATGGTTTCAGATGGAGGGTTGGCAATGGGGAAGATATTCAGATACGGATCGATGTCTGGATCCTAGGAAAGGGTTTCCTTTTTGTTGATCCTTTTCCTATGGAGGATCCCTCAAATGAAACCATTAGCACTCTTATTGATTGGGAAAGGGGTGGCTGGGATCTGAACAAAATTAACGAGCTCTTCACTGAGCAAGACAAGACCCTCATCCCTTAAATCCCTCTGAGCTATCCTTCAAAGAAGGACCTCCGGTCTGGAGTGACTGAAAACGGTGTTTACATTGGGAAATCTGCCTACTCCTGGATCCGAGTAAGCAACCCTACCACTATGGCTCGTCATCACAATCGACCAAATGAAGATGCTGAGTTCTGGAAATTCCTATGGAAGATTCGTATCCAGCCTAAGGTGTGTACGTTCTTATGGAAAATTTGCAGAAATATCTTACTTGTGGGTTCCAATATTGAAGAATTTATCGATGATGCGTGCCCCTACTGCCCCTTCTGCCCCTTTTGAGGATATTTGGAAGATGGCATCTAGAAACGAGTTTTTCTCTAGTATTCCGATCGTGTGGAGTTTTACACCGAGAAAGAGGAATGGACCAGCACACTGGTTAGTGGTTAGCCCACTCTGTTTCAGCCTTTCGGGCTGGGATCATCAAATTGTTTGGGTGGACAACCCCCTTTGTCTCTATTGGTTGTTTTGGAGAAGGATTTGGACCGTGGGCCTTTTGGCCATTTCTGAGCCTTTGAATGAATTTCATCCAGTTCCCTTCAAAAAAAAGTTGCTAATTTGATTTGGGTTAATTATTGAAGGAAACCAGACTTAATGCTAGCAATCGATTTGGTTCAGTTATAACCAGAAATATTTGATTGTTTTTGGTTATTTTGTCGGTTCTGATAACTGTTAAGCACGAGATTTGGCAAGGTTATACCAAAATAACTTATCAATAACCTAACAAACAGAGGATCTCCTTTTTTCTCAATGCATTTTTGTAGATTTTTTCCTACATACTTACGTATGTGATCTTATTTTAAGTTGTCATCATTAAATAAAAAATCATTTAACATAGATATAAACCTATAATCAACTCAATCCAACACAAGTACACAATAACACAATTCTACCGTCAAATTTGATTAAACAATCATACAAGAATAAGACGCGCAACTACAATTACTCAACTCATAAACTCCACCAAATTACATGGAAGTTTAAATGCTACTAATTATTGACAAGCTATTGTCCGCAAGGCCAACTTTCTACTTTGTTCCTTCTAAAGCCCTTTCTTGAAATTAGTCTCCGATAAACCTAAGTCAGTATTACAACTAGGGTAGGCAATGGATCTTATAGGCTTTCAAGAATCCCTATTATTTTTGGCCTATGCAAGTATGCATGTGGTTCATCGAGACCTATTATTTTCTATCCTAACTATGAGGATGGTCGTAATCGAATAGCCGGTTAACTATTTATCCGTCAATTAGTAATTAGATAAATTTTACTATTGAGAACCGACCGTTTACTGTTTAATCGATTATCGGTGTTATCGTTAACCATCGATTTTGGTTCGGTTACCGGTTACACCGTCAACAAGATAACAATTTACTAGCCCTGGGCATGAAATCCCACTATTGCTCTCTTCTTTTTCCGTTGAATACCATCTTTCGATATGATCTAATTATTGTTTTAAGTTTTTTGTCTAATTTTGAATGATGATAATTATAAAAAAAAAAAAATTTGAATGATGATAAGAATGCACTATCAAGAAAAATTTAATGTAAATACAAAATAGAACCGCTATTAATGTAATCGCAGCCTATCTCCCACTATCCACATCAAAACGTTGGTGTTTTTCTAGTATATTATATAAAGCTCTAAAATTTACTATAAGGTCTTTATTATTTGCATTAGACATAGTTTTTATATGGTCAATGATTTCTTACATAACAGTTTACAAATTTATATTTTTGTTAACTTGATCTTTTTATTAGATCGTACAGTAAGATGGTAGTTACATAATTACAAATAAGTTATATAAAACTTATGTAAGGGTAGTTATTTCTTATGTATCACTTAAACAATGACTAAAATGATTCGATATTTAAGTTTGAATTAAATTCGTTTATTATCATCTAAATTTTTAATAATCTCATTAATTTGGAATACACAAATATTCTTGAAGGTAAATCATTATTTTACATAACTAGTCACGAGATACTGTAAAGTTTAGTGAATGATAATTATCTTTTATATATCACTTAAACAAACGTATGGTCTATGTATTTCATAATGATTAAGACATTACATAAAACTTATGTAGCAATCCTACTCTAATAATTTTATGAATTATTTGATTTCATATAAATTATT